CAAATACTCAAGCCCTATTTGTCTGAAAATAAAATGTTGTGAAAAAGTAGAGTCCCTTAGAAATGGTAAGAGATGTTAAATCACTAGCACACAAGAAAAGGAAACCGAGCTACTTAAAGCCATTAACGATACGTATATAAAGTGGATATTATTCTCTATAACAGGGTCAGGAAACTCTTCTGTAAAGGGCTAGTAATAAATGTTTTAGGTTTTGTGCACCATACAATCTGTCACATTTATTTAACTCTGCCATCATAGTGTGATAACAGCCATAGATAATAAGTAAATAAACAGGGGTGCCTGGGTAGCTCAGTCAGTTGAACAGCCAACTCTGGTTCAGGTCATGATTTTGTGGTCCTGAGTTCAAGCCCTGCATCAGGCTCTGTGCTGACAACTCAGAGCCGGGAGCCTGCTTCAGATTCTGTGTCTCCTTCTCTCTCTGCCCCTCCCCCACTCACATTCTCTCTCTCTCTCTCTCTCTCTCTCTCTCTCTCTCTCTCTCTCTCAAAAATGAAAAACATTAAAAAAAGATTAAAAAATAAGTAAATGAACAAATGTGGCTGTGTTCCAATAACATTTATTTACAAAAACTAGTGGTGAGCTGGAGTTGGTTTGTGCACTATAGTTTGCCACTACCTGCTGTTATAGATTTTTTCATAAAATTATACATTTTTTCATAAATTTGTTATTTAATTTTAATAGGAAAAATGGGCTATGATTCAAATATTATTTGGTAGGGCCAGCCAATCTGCAAGTCTGCCCACATTTGGTATCGGGTGTAGCAACCGACAAAATGAAATACAACTGACTTGCCTCTATAACCTGTCTTCCATGAAATAATGAGATGTGGAATCACAGTGGTGAAAATATATGGAAGAAATCTACTTATATGCTCTGTCCATCTAGGTGTAATATAATTATTCAAGATGAGGAACAAAAATTAAATCTATGTATTAACATCTATTGCATATAAAAATCCATGGATGACCAATGTGTGTGACAAAAGTTGACGAGATATAAGCAAATGCTTGATTCTGAAAAATGTACTTTTATTACAAATTGGGGACATTAAAACTTACTACCCTTCTGGATCTTCAGTTTACAATTAAAGTCTTATTCTGATTATTTTAATTTTATGGTCTTGTAATTTAATGTTAGTTATACTGAACAATTCTAAAAGTGCCATCCCTTACCTTGCAGTCATCTGAAAGCACCTTAGGTTCAAGTAGAGTGTTTTCTTCAAAAATCTGGCCATTCCATCCCTTGAAGCCAATAGGTAATCCTGAGCCACTTGACTGAGCACTTGTCCACACTGGTGTGTTTAGACAGTGAATAGTGATGATATGGGTGGCTTCTGAGCTCAGTAAGTGAAGGAAGTTCATCTGGACTTTTCCAACTCCAAACTCCAACTAATGTCATAGAAACAATATACAGGTTATAAGATGTGGCAATTGATAAACTTATAATTTGGGGGAATTTGAGGAAAGTCCTTGGAATGCAGCCTTGAGAAAACTACTTTCCTTGGCATTTAAATGCCAGTCAACAGCGTATGACTGAACCACTGGCTTTTGCAGGGGTGGGGAGCAGGGAATCCCTGATTTATAGCATTTTCTGATTTCCATGGTGTAAACACTCCTACCATGCCTGATTTCAGGATATCATGGTGGTGTCACTGGACATGGAGTTGGAAAGAGACATAACTCTTTCTGGATGAGTCTGTATGAGCCGGCTTCAGCATACCATTAGACTACTAGATGTGACAAAAAAAATTATAATTTTTATAATGTTATCTAAAATGCATTAATAATTAGTTGTTGACTAATAATTTTTTCCACAAAAATCTGAAATTGTGTATACTTTCCTTGCAGATCGTTTTTGGAGTTTCCAAAGATAAGTTAGAAGTTGCAATAATAACTTGTTGAGTAATTTTAACTATGAGAGCTTTTAAAGATCAGGATAGAATCTTCTTCTTTGTGTTGCCGGCCCCTAACGCAGTTACAGTCATACAGCAAATCTTCAGTAAATGTTTATTGAAATGACTGAATACATAACAAGTATTAATAATAAAGTCAACAATATAGAGCAAAATTAGAGCAAGGAGGTCTGATCGCATATTTCCCAGGTTTCGGCAAGGAAAGAGATTTTTCCTTTTTTTCTTTCTTTAATTTTTTTTTTTAATTTATTTTTGAGAGACAAGAGAGAGACAGAGCATGAACAGGGGAGGGTCAGAGAGAGAGGGAGACACAGAATCTGAAGCAGGCCCCAGGCTCTGAGCTGTCAGCACAGAGCCCGATGCGGGGCTTGAACTCACAGACTGTGAGATCATGACCTGAGCTGAAGTCGGACGCTCAACCGATTGAGCCACCCAGGTGCCCCAAGAGATTTTTCTATAGTTTTTGACATTATTATTATTTTAGCAATATTCAAGCAGAGGTATGGTCATAACATAAGTGAACAAAAATGGTTTCTACAAGGAATTTATATGAATTTCCAAACATGAAATTAGAAAAATATCAGTTATGAGCTAACAGAGAAAGAAAAAAATAAAACAACAATCAAAAAAGTAAAAGGAACAGAGAAGAAAGGCAAAGGAAGGTCAGTGAGGCTGAAAACATGGAAGGATCATCATAAGGAACATTAGAGTTTAAGTAGTTCAGTTTCCTTTATTTTACAGGTGAGAGTCACAAGCTTGTAAACTATTTAACCTTTCTAAGACTTAGTTTCTTTGTTGGTAAGGTAGCGTGTAACACTGACATGGCAGGGATGCTATAAGGATTTAAGGAGCCACATGTCACCTAGCACAGTGCTGGCACAGAGTAGGCCCTTTGGTGGCTCAGAGTGCCATTTGCCAGGGTAGTAGAGGAATAGAAACTAGAACCCAGGTCCCTGATTCCAAGTTTACCATTCTTTCCACTACCTGCCCAGTCTTTCTCAGGTCGAGTTTACAGATAGGAGAGAGGGGAGAGCTGATTGAGTCAAGGAAGGGATTGGGGCGCAGCTCCTTTGCTACTCCTGTCTCCTTTGCACACCCTTCCCAGTCCCCATCTTCCTTCTGCGATAATCCAAATAAACATTCTGGGCCAAATCCAGGGGAGTGAGTATGATCATGCAGATATTTTGCAAGTAAGATTATCAGGCTGATCTTCATCAGAGGAACATGGATTCCCTAGGAATGGAAGAATCTTTCCTTCCTCTGCTTTGAGGTTAGTAATAACGGTGAACACCTACTGAGATGAACTGGTGAAACACCCCGGTTAATGAAGAGGGATATTTTAGGAAAGGGTAGTCTAACAACAAGCAGTGTAGAGATTAATAGACCTCACATTTTACTTGCTGCCTCTTTTTTTTTTTTTTTTTGGGGGGGGGGGGAGCATGAGAGGGTGGGAGAAGGGGAGGGAGGGGCAGATAGGGAGACAGGAGGAGGGACTTGCTGCCTCTTTATAATGGACCAAACATACAACAGGCATGTGTATCCATTCTTTGTCAATGAGAAATAAGGTCTTGGTAATAATACCAAACTGGTTTAACCAGAAAAAGAAAAAAAAATGCAGTTTTGATTTCTTCAGTATTTGTTATGTGTAGAACTAAGCTTTAGGTTTTATAAGTGCTTGTTATAATCTCCAGTATCATACCAAACTAACTTTCATTCATTCTATTATACTTGAAAGAAGTTTTAAATAATAGTCAATGGATATTTAAGGCAGGTTCTTTTGCGCTAAATCACCAAAAATAGTAAGCTTTGTGGCAACCTTCCTCTTTTAATGATATCATTTTCAGAAAACTTTAGGTAACTGATTACTAATTACAAACACTGGGGATTTTCTAATGTATATGTATGCATAAAAACATATGTTCCACATTTTTAAAAGGAAATTTAAAAAGCATAATCAGTAGAGTAAGCCAAGATATGTCAATCATAAAAGACATCATCAAAATGTCAAGATTCACTAGAATTACTTTTTAAAAACAAAAAATTTCTTATATGTGGTAGAGAATGATACCTTGCTTCCATTCATAAAATTCATAATTATTTAAGGTTACAGAATTTTAAAAGTTATGTTCCCTGAAACTGGGCAAGTACTCGCATGTGTTCTACAATTCAATACATACCTTTGTTACAGAAACAGGAGATAAACATGTCTGACCACCAGCACTGAAATTGCAGAAAACCTCAATGGCATCTGAAGGGCATCCAAGATTTGGATCAATCCAGTATTTTCCTATTAATTTATTGTAAAACACAAAAATACTTAAATGCCATACTAAAACCTATTTGAATCATCATTACAAATTATCTTACTTTAAATATACATTTTTATAGTCTTAACTGTAAAAAAACTTAGAAGATTATAAAGATATTTACATTTAGTCAATGAATGAAAGCTGCAAGCATTATATAAAATTGATACCAAAAATACTGTATTTTTCACGTGCCTATCAACTTAAGGGCATTTTATAATTTTAACAAAAAATGGTATAATGGCTGAATTTATTGCCTCTTTTTTTTTAAGTTTATTTATTTATCTTGAGAGAGAGACAAGCAGGAGAGGAACAGAGAGAGGGAGGGAGAGAATCCCGATCAGGCTCTGTGCTATTAGTGCTGAGCCTGATGCAGGGCTCAAATTCTCAAACTGAACCATGAGATCATGACGTGAGCTGCAACCAAAAGTCAGATACTTAACCAACTGAGTGATCCAGGCCCCCCTACTGCTTTCTATAGATGAGACCATCAGCTTAAAGGAACCGTCTAAAGTTACATAGTTAACAGAAAAGTTGCAGTTAATGTGGTATATGTGTATATGTCTGTTCTATGTGATTACAGAGTTTAAAAAAATACATACTATATACATGTACATGTATGTTAAATGGAAACAACTTCAATCTCCCTGAGGTAAAATATTACCTTTATGAATATTGGCATAAAATTAATAAAACATTCTTTGTTTTCAGACAGAAAAGGTACAATTAAATGGTTATCTTTTTTGTGGTTTCTTCATCAGATTTGCAAGTGAGAAAAACTGAAGTCCCTGTACCGAGTGTAAACCTGCCAACCTTTGCCTTCACTGACTGCTCAGCAGAATCAAAAGGAGTCTTGAAAGTCAGTCTACAGGAAATTCTCAGGCTGAAGAAGGATTGATCTAGCATCTGAGTTCCAGAGTAACGGGCTCAGAATATTGCAGGAGCACCTTATTCTAAAAGCAAAGACTAAGAATTTTTAAATGAGAGATAGCTCTGCTTTCTTGCATTAAAAAGGCAAGACAATCAAACAGTACTTGTCATTTCTTCAGTAGCGAGGAATCCTTGTCTTTCTTACCCTATTGCAAAGATTCCTCTCCTGCAACCTGGGCTTCCTCTGGTCCATTATTTTAGATTTCCAGAACATCTTCAACAACTCTTTACTAACTCTACTAATCTTTCAAAATGCATACCTCCTGAATTGGTGGCTCCAAAAGTAGGGACTCTGTTGCAATGTTTTTCAAATTTTAGTGGCATTAGAAACATCTGTTAAAACAGGGGTAGCTGGACCCCATCAACAGAGTTGCTGATTCATGAAGTCTGAGGCAGGCCTTGAGAACCTGCATTTCAACAGTATCTAACTCTGGTCCAGGGACATTTGAAGACCTACTGATCTATTAAGATATGGAAGAATTGGGTGAATGAAATCCTATCCTCTGCCCCTCCCCCCCCTTTTTTAATCTTTCCCTCAGAATTTCAGACATTTTGTAAAGGTTGTAGAAATTAGTGCTGGATTTTTTTTACCAGGTTCTAGAGCAGGCTTCTAGTCTTATCTAATGACGTAAACACATAATCTTCACTACTCTCTCTTGTCTTCCAAGAAACCGTTTCCTTCTACTATGTGAGCTTATTAATAAGTTCCTTCTAAAAAGTTTTCCATCAACCAAACTCTCATTGTTATATGGGGAAGAATGCTTTGAATTCAGGTACTATGCTGTACAACGGTGAAATGGTAGAGACTTCATAATTTTTTCAGGATACGTTGAGCTATAAATGAAGCACCATACCATAATATGTCTTTTGTGGGCCCAAACGTTCTAACCCAAAACTGGCTCTCCCATGGGCACAGCACTTCCCTTGCAGCTCTTTCAAGTTCTGCCACAGCCTCTATTATCTTTGTGTTTGGAGTAGGGAAGGTGTCTTTCTTGCCCTTCACTGCCACCTCCGGACCATTCTTCCTGTATTTTTCCTAAAACAACTCCATGGTAAAACTACTGTCATTATATTACATCATCCATTACCCCTTCCTCTTGCAAGCCACTTTCTTTGAAGATTTTATCATTGGATGGCTATTACTTTCATAAAATACACTTATGACCTAATTCTTGGTGACACGGATGACACTTCCAATACCCTGGCCTCTCAGTTCCTTGAACTCTTCTGCCAATGTTCTCGTACCCTTCCCCTGCTCCCCCTACTGCCCCATTCACTTTAACCCTCAACTTCCCCAGGCTGCACCCTAGCCTTTGTCATTATCTACAAACTAGAATTCTGCCATTATTTCACCTCTTCTCTTTTGAACCCATTCTCTATTGTCCTGACTCCAATTATTCTTCCATCCTATCAGGACCTACAATCCATCGATAATATTTTTGTCATGATTTCTCATAATCATGTGTTCGATTCCCTCCCTACCCGAGTAAAACCCACAGATCTTTACTAAAATTACTTCCTTGGAGACTTCCATAACATCCCTGCCCTGCCACAATTCATTGTGCTTGCCTTATGAAATCCCAACCTCATAGAAGTCCAATTTTCACCTGTACCTGCACAGCTAAATGTGGCTGAAGAAAAATACAACTAGGTGGACTGGACTCACTTTAAATTCACATGTTTGTAAGACTGCCAGACAACAACACCATGTTTCCCTAATTAGTTCCCTCTGTTGCTCTCCTAGTTAACTGTTTGAAACCTTCTCTTCTTCTCTCACCTTTGTTATACCCATCCCTTCACCTTTACTCTTGAGTGATAACCTTTCAATGTCACTGAGGCAACTGAGGCAATGTGAAAGGAGCTTACAGAACCTCCAGCTACCACATCTCCTTACCTATCTGTGCTTGCACACATATATTCTGCCTTCCTTCTTATTATCGTGAATCAACTGTGTTCCTATGGAAGGCTTGTCTATTACACCTTCAGTTTCAAATTCTTCCTCTCTTAATTTTCTTTTGAGTGTAATTCTGCTTGCTGTTTCTGCCAGTTCTCATTCATGGTGTTTTATCAACCGGTATGCCTCAGTATATTGACTGTGTGCTGGGCACTACCTTTGAGAAATGATTTGTGGAAATAATTTGAGCCCTAGGATGATGGTATATTTTATAGAAGACTTTTGTTTCTGTGAGACATGGGATGGGGGGTACTAGCAGTCTGGAATCATCTTAGTCCAAGTTCAAAGCTTAAGACTCTGAGCTATCTTCATGATGTGAATGAAGCTAGGCTATAGTCTTGTCTCTTCCAGTTTATGTTTACTTTCAGAGTGGAGCCCTTTGAAAACCTAAATCCTCACATTTGATGGGCCACAGATATCAATTTTTGACCCGAGCCCCACGAAGCTACCAAAAGCTGTATTTAGAACACACCCAGGGCAAAAGCAGTTCTAACTGTGTTCATTTCTTTGCTGTCTCCTTCAAAATGTTGGCTTAAAATTCCCTCACTATTTTGTTGGCTATTTGATGCTTTTAACTTGAAAACAAATTTTAAAAGATATTCAGCCTGGCAATTTGAATTACCTCCTTCATTACTGGAAATGGAAACTCTCTGGCTCTATAATTTTCTCTTAAAATCTGATGAAGTTTTAACCACTACTATTCCTCTTAACTGCTCTTGTGAAGCTCACACAGCATCATGCTGCTAAATTCAGTAGCCTTTCTCAGGAACCCAGTCGATCCCTTCCTCAGGCAAAATTTTCTTCACTACTGTTCATCTAGTTTTCCTCCTATCAGGGATAGCTTCTTCTCAGTTTTCTTTGCTAGTTTCTCCACATTTCCCTGATCTCTAAACATTGAAGAGCCCGAAGGCATAGGGTTTAGACCTCAGCTACCTCAGCTTTTCTTTCTCCGCCTAGTCTTTAGGTAGTTGTAAGCAGTCCAGGGGCATTAGATACTATTGATATGCAAATGACGTCATAATTTTTACCCCTAGCCAGAACCTTTCTCTAATAGCCACCAACCTCCTTGACATTCTTACTTTATGCTGAACAGACATCTCAAATGAGATATATCTAAAACCGAACTCCTGATTTTTCCTCCAAAACTTGCTTCTGCATCTCTCTTACAGCAACTCCACACTTCCATCCATTAGTCAAAAAGCTTAGAGTCATCCTCTATCATTCTATTTCTCTCATAACCCACATCCAAATTATCATCAAGAACTGCTGGCTGTACCTTAAGGCAGAGCCAAAGACTTGATCATTTATCACTTATTCTACTAATTCTAGTCCAGCCTACCGTCATCTCTTACCTGGATCTTTTTCAGTGGCCTCCTCAATGGTTTCTTTTACTGTTGTCCTCATTATATTTGCAATACATTAGCCAGAATAATATTTCAAAAATTTAAGTCAAATCCTATCATTCCTTTGCTGCAAAACTTTGAATGGCTTCCCACCATATTCAGAATAAAAGCTGGAGTCTTTTGAGTAGTCTGTAAGATCTTACATAATCTGGTTTTTTGGATATCTTTCTGACTTCATTTTCTACCACTTGCCCTTATGCACCCTCTTCCGGTCACTGGCCTTTTTGTTAATCCTAGAACATACTACATATACTCCAGTCCCAGGGCCTTTGCATTTGCGTTTGTTCTTTCTGCCTGGAAAGCTCTTTCTCTAGATTTCCTATAGCTTGTACCTTTACCTTCTTCTGATATGGCTCAAATGTCATGTTCTCAGAGATGCCTTATCTAACTACTGTACTCGAAAACTTCACCCCCACTCCATTTTCTATCATATCCCCCTTCCCTGCTGTTTTGTGTTTCTCTATAGCATTTGCTGTCTCCTAGTGATGAAAATATTGTTGGGCATTAAAACCTTTCTGATACCTTGCAATCCATACCACTTAGTTATTTTTCTTACAAAGAAGGCAGACCTTGAATTAGATTTCAGTCATTTGTATGTCTTAAAATGTCTTTGTTACTTTCAATTCGATAGAATTTCATGTTTATGCCATCAAATATGAGAAAGAATCAAACAGAATTACTGTAGGCAGCTGTAACTGTCTATATTAGTTTAGTTTTTGTAGTAATTTAAGGCAGGAAATATCTGTAGAAGTTAAGCATTTTATTAATATAAATAAAATGAATATTTTCATTGCACTTATAGAATGGAAGCTTATGTTTTTGGACAAGGGTGTGTGTGTTATGTGATGTATATGTGTGTATATATAATTTAAATAAAATATGGACTACTAGTTACCATATAGAAGAACATAACATTTTTTTTTCAAATCAGCATATGTGTCATCACTACATATAAGTTTTTAGCAAAAAATTTAACTACTAATATTGATCGTACAGCTGACTACAGATCCAATAGAAATTAAAATTAAATGATATATTACAGCAGACAGGGTTCCCTTATCTATCATTAGATAAATAGAACTGTTCTACTTGCTTTAAAGCTTTTCCTTTATGGTTCTATTCTAAATTCATTTTTGTACCTCTGGTTAATGGATTTGGGGCTATCAGTGTACGAATGAAAAAATTCCAAGAATACCAAACCATCTTCCTACTCACTGACTCTATAGTGATGCATTTAAATTCCATTTTGTGTAAAAGCCATAATTTTAGGAGATGTGCTGATGGGGGCTCTCCCATGTATATTTTTTTCATGTTATCACCTTTGGCGGACCCGACAGGTACTCCTATTAACCCAGAGGTCAGTCCTCCATATTTTAATTGTTATCATGAATATGATATGTTCCAAACACGATGTGTAAGCAAGTACTATAATTAGAGTGGAGTATGAAAAGTTGGGGATCAGTTAGGATGCATAGAAGAAGACATTTGTAATGTAAACCCTCAGAAAGGGATACTCTGGCTTCAGAATCATGTCTCCCTCTAAGAGTATTTGGTTTTTGATAACATTAAAATGCTTTCCTATAAGCGTTTTATCAAAACGATGAAGATTCAAAATGAATATAGTATCAATCTCAGACACACTGAAATGATGGAATTAGACATCAGAGTTTGAGAAAACCAAGAACTTACCATCTGATACTTTGTGTTCACAGTTAAGCAAATCTCTGCAGATTCGTGCTGGGTTATCTCGTGTGCCAAGAGGAT